TCCAGGATATTGTTTACCATCTCAGACTAGTCATTTGCTAAATAGGAAGGCAATGACTTAGTACAGTTTCAGGATATTACTAATTGTCTGCCTCAGAATATAATTTTGAGCTAACCAACTCTATCAGGTAGTGTTAGCCCTCTGACTTTGTCCTTTGCAAAGGGTTTTGTTTTTGTTTTTGCTATTCTAGATCCTTTGCATTTCCATATGAACTTTCAAATCAGTTTGCCAATTTCTACGAACCGCCCCCCAAAAAAACCTCTTGGAATTTTGATTAGGATTGTGTTGAATCTTCAGATAGATTTGGAGGTAACTGACATCTTAACAATATCGAATCTTCCAACCCATAGACAAAGTAAATCTCTCCATTTATTTAGGTTTTCTTTAATTTCTCTCATCAGTATCTTATGGTTTTCAAAATATGGGTTTTACCCATCTTTTGTTGGATTTATCCCTAAATACTTCTTAATTTTATGCTTTATAATTGACATTTATTTTAATTTCCAGATATTTGCTGCTACTATATTTAAATACTATTGAGTTTTGTATATTTTTATATCCTGCAACTTTGCTAAATTCACTTATTAATTCAAATATCATTTTTTATATCCATCAGATTTTCTACATAGACAAGGCCACCTACAAGTAAAAACAAGCTTATTTCATCATTTCCAGACTGGATGCAATTATTTTTGTTTTTCTTGCCTAATTGCAGTAGCTAGAACCTCCAGTAAAATGTTGGATAGATGCGATGATAGCGGATGTCCCTCTCTTGGTTCTGATCTTCAAAGGGAAATAATTCTGCCTTTCATCACTAAGTATATTAACAGCATGGTTTTTTTCATAGATGATCTTTACCAGGTTAAGGTCTCTTTTTTCCCTAGTTTGCTAACAGTTTTTATCAGGAGTTGATGTTGCATTTTTCTTTGCCCTTATGCAGTTTGTTTGTTTGTTTGTTTGTTTTACATATATATACTGATCAGAAACCAGCTGAAGCCTGGAGAAGGAGTCATTGGCAGCTTTCCAGGGCTCCCACTGTACCCCGCTCTCTCTCTTCAGGACTTCGCTTTGCAAACCGTAGCCACTTTGGCTTTCTTGGACTCCCATGTCCATTTTCCCAACACAGGGATACCAACAGGCTCAGCTTCAGTCCTTCCCACCAGTAACACAACCTGGAAACTCTCTCAAGGCAGTAATCTGGGATGACGGTAGAGCTCACCTCATTTGCTTCCTGTCTTTCAGCGATTATTGCCCTGTGTTGTGTGATGTCCAATGTGTTAAAATTATTGTTTTGTATGTTTGTCCAGTTTTTTAGTTGTTTCTGCAGGATGGTGAACATAGGCCCTGTTATTCCATCTTGGGTGGAAACAACCATCTTACCTGGGAAGTTTTTATGCATGCACATTCTTCAGCCTTATTCTGCACTGAAATCACGGGCTAGGTCTTGAGAATCTGTACATTTTTAAAACTCCTTACTAAATTTATTGACAATCCTGGCTTATGAAGTTCAGGTTTACCCTTTATACCTACTGAAGCCTGTGTTCTACGGATTAAGGCTCAGAACATGATTAGGATTCTAGACCCAGGTTCTCTGCCTCTTTACCTTTGGTTTCACTATGTGTATGACACTATAATGTCTGCTACATTAGTGCATGCTGGGAATGCTAATTTAATTTCATATAAAATTCAGTAAAGCTTAACATCTCTACATGTTCAGAAAACCAAATGTAATTTAATCGGGTTGCTGGACAGAAACTAGGTGTTTCTTGCCCTATGGTAAGTATTACAGGTTTGTATCAGATGAGGAAGAGACTACAATAGTTCCATTTTATGTATGCAATCATCTTCCTAAAGAGGGAGCCATCAAAGTTTGAATGCAGTGAACCTTTGCCAAGATTATGTGTGACTAGATACCTTCCCAAGATAATACCACCATGGTAACTGCACTGCCCAACGGTATTGGTTAAACTTAGACATGTTTTTTGTGTGTGTTTTGGTTTGTTTTTTTTTATTATTTTTTTTATTTATTTTCAGTGTAACAGTATTCATAGTTTTTGCACCACACCCAGTGCTCCATGCAATATGTGCCCTCTCCAATACCCACCACCTGGTTCCTCAACCTCCCACTCCCCCCACCCTTTTAGAACCCTCAGATTGTTTTTCAGAGTCCATAGTCTCTCATGGTTCACCTCTCCTTCCAATTTCCCTCAACTCCCTTCTCCTAACTCCCCTTGCCCTCCATGCTATTTGTTATGCTCCACAAATAAGTGAAACCATATGATAATTGACTCTTTCCGCTTGACTTATTTCACTCAGCATAATCTCTTCCAGTCCCGTCCATGTTGCTACAAAAGTTGGGTATTCATCCTTTGTGATGGAGGCATAATACTCCATAGTGTATATGGACCACATCTTCCTTATCCATTCGTCCGTTGAAGGGCATCTTGGTTCTTTCCACAGTTTGGCGACAGTGGCCATTGCTGCTATAAACATTGGGGTACAGATGGCCCTTCTTTTCACTACATCTGTATCTTCAGGGTAAATACCAAGTAGTGCAATTGCAGGGTCATAGGGAAGCTCTATTTTTAATTTATTGAGGAATCTCCACACTGTTCTCCAAAGTGGCTGCACCAACTTGCATTCCCACCAACAGTGGAAGAGGGTTCCCCTTTCTCCACATCCCCTCCGACACATGTTGTTTCCTGTCTTGCTAATTTTGGCCATTCTAAGTGGTGTAAGGTGGTATCTCAATGTGGTTTTAATTTTAATCTCCCTGATGGCTAGTGAAGATGAACTTAGACATGTTTTAAAACACAGGTGGGTAGTCATATCTGCATGATGTCTTCTCACAAAATTTTAGGGGACTTTAATATTTCCCACCCCTGAATGCTTAATATGCAACACACATACCAGTATTTTAGCCTTCTTCATGGTGTACTAAGAATGTGTATTTGTATAATGACACCCGTACCTTCTCATATGAATTTTCCCAGGTAATTGATTTCATGGGAAATTATTGATTTCCTATTTCTCCTATTCAGTTAGTCTAGAAATATCCAGAAATTTAGAATATATGATAATGTTTTACATAATGTGAATATATAATTATGAGAACATTTATGATTATGTAATTTCAATATACATAAAATATGAATATAGATTTATTTCTTCTTTTCTGGTATTCTTCCTGGGAATATCTGAAAAACAGGTAACTGAGCTATATTAAGTTTAATTAATATTAAACAGCATTAAGTTGGCAAGTCCCCTCTCTCCTGTGCTGCCAGATTTCTGATCTCATGGGTATCCAAACTGGCTTACAGTGGCTTAATGTGTGAGGGGTTCTCTCCATTCGGGATTCTTTGGTAATGAGCACATCCTGATAATAATTCCTTAAGACTCTCTATACCCTCTGATATACTGCTGGTTTTTAGGGAGTCAAGAAAAATCCCTTTGGCAGTGCCTAATCTCTTTACTCAAATGTTAACTCTATGAAATTTTATCCTTTTGTTCTTTAGATCATCCTAAAATTATCCATAGCCTGACAAACAACGTATAAGCCAAAGAATAATATTTTGTTACAGCTCAACAAGTTGATTTTAAGCCCAAATGCTGTGTCATCTGTGTGGTTTGACTGGCTGAGGATTTAAAAGGATAAGTGGGTTCTGGGTACATATGCAGCCGGAACTTAGACTGTCCCACTAACCTCAACAGGAACCTTGGTCATGGGCAAACCCAGTTGATGAGGAACTCAATTCTCTGGGGTTCAAATATAGGATCTAGCCCAATCCATTGATCAGAAGAATCCTATAATAGACAACAGCAATTGTGGACATATTTTATCTCCAAGAGGCGTTAGAAATCATCTAATATAACATTTCTCAAATTGGTTGAGGAGGGGACAATAATCAGAATTACCTAGTGCAATGAGTAAGAGAATGGAGGAGAGCTGAGAATATACAGTTTTTAAAAGTTCCAGAGAGATCCTTTTCACTTTTTTATCTATCTATCTATCTATCTATCTATCTATCATTTACAAATCATTAATCCAAACAGTGCTTTACAGGCCAGGCTACAATTCAAGCCATCGAGGGAGCTTTCAAAAATCTTGTAATCCAGGTCATATCACAGGCCAAATGAGAATCTCTTGGTTGGACTGGAGATAGCAATAGTTTAAAGAACCACCTAGATGAGGTTGGGAATCTGTAGGCCCATACATAGGGTGAAGCTTGACAACACTGGACCCAGGAGAAGTACCTAACTCATATCTGAGTAGCCACAAAGAGTCTCTACCTTCCTTCTAGACACCTCTTCAACCAAGAATTACTGTGCCCTCCAGAAAAACGGTTATCTATTGTTAAATTAACAATTTTTCTTGAATTGTGGTAAAACACACATATAAAATTTACCACCTTAACCATTTGTAAATGGACAGTTCAATAGTGTTAGTACATTTATGTTGCTTTGCAACAGATTTCCAGAACTTTTTCATCTTGCAAACCTGGAACTCTATACCTAATGAATACTGACTCCCTATTTCCTCCCCTGTCTATGCCCTGGAAACCTTTTTATCTTCTGTTTCTATGAGTTTGGCTACTTTAGATACCTCATATAGATGGGGTCAGATAGTATGCGTCTCTTTGTGACAGTTTATCTCAGCATAATATTCTTAAGAGTCATCTATGGTATGGCATGAAGCAGGATTTCCACTTTTTAACTGAATAATATTGCACTGCATGTGTATATCACATTTTCTTTATCCATTAATTTGTCCATGGATATTTGGATTACTTCTACCTCTTGGCTATTGTGAGTAAGATGCAATGAACTTGGATATACAAACATCTCCTTGAGATCCTAATTTGAATCATTTTGTATATATACCCAGAGGGAGATTACAGGATCATATGGTACTTCTGTTTAATTTTTGAGGAATCTCCATAGCTATTTTCCATAGTGGTTGCACAATTTTTGATTCCCACCAACAGAGCACAAGTGTTCCAAAAAATATGGGATGCCTCATGAATTTGCATGTCATCCTTGCACAGGAGCCATGCTAGTCTCCTCTGTATTGTTCCAATTTTAGTGTATGTTCTGCTGAAGGAAAGAATAAATTAAAAATTTTCAAGATAAACTTCATTTTGTATTATCATTACACTATGTTAGTCACCATACAGTACATCATTAGTTTTTGATGTAGTGTTCCATGATTCATTGTTTACATATGACATGCTGTGCTCCATGCAATACCTGCCCTTCATAATACCCATCACCAGGTTAACCCATCCCCCGATTTCCCTCCCCTCTAAAACCCTCAGTTTCTTTCCCAGAGTCCATAGTCTCTCATGGTTCATCTCCCCATCTGATTCCCCCGCCCCTTCATTTTTCTCTTCCTTCTCCTAATGTCCTTCATGCCATTCCTTATGTTCCACAAATAAGTGAAACCATATGAAAATTGACTTTCTCTGCTTGACTTATTTCACTTGACATAATCTCATCCAGTTCTATCCATGCTGATGCCGAAGTTAAGTATTCATCCTTCCTGATGGCTAAGTAATATTCCATTGTGTATATGGACCATACATATCTTCTTTATCCATTCATCTGTTAAAGGTCATCTCAGCTCTTTTCACAGTTTAGCTATTGTGGACATTGCTGCTATGAACATTGGGGTGTATATGGCCCTTCTTTTCACTACATCTGTATCTTTGAGGTCAGTACCCAGTAATGCAATTGCAGGGTCATAGGGTAGCTCTGTTTTTAATTTTTTGAGGAACCTCCACACTGTTTTCCAAAGTGGCTGCAGTGACTTACATTCCCATGAACAGTGTAAGAGGGTTCCCCTTTCTCCACAACCTCTCTAACATTTATTGTTTCTTGTCTTGTCAATTTTTGCCATTCTAACTGGTGTAAGGTGGTATCTCAATGTGGTTTTGATTTGAATTTCCCTGATGGCTAATGATAATGAACATTTTTTCAATGTGTCTGTTAGCCATTTGTATGTCTTCTTTGGAGAAGTGTCTGTTCATGTCTTCTGCCCATTTTTTACTTATTTGTTTTTGGGTGTTAAGTTTGAGTTCTTTATAAATCTTGGATATCAGCCTTTTTGCCTGTAATGTCATTTGCAAATATCTTCTCCCATTCCTTGGGTTGTCTCTTTGTTTTTCTGACTGTTTCCTTTGTTGTGCAAAAGCTTTTTATCTTGATGAAATCCCAAAAGATCATTTTCGCTTCTGTTTCCTTTGCCTTCAGAGACCTGTCTTGAAAGAAGTTGCTGTGGCCAATGTCACAGAGGTTACTGTTTATGTTCTCCTCTAGGATTTTGATGGATTCCTGTCTCACATTGAGGTCTTTCACCCATTTAGAGTTTATCTTTGCATATGTTGTAAGAGAATGGTTAAGTTTCATTCTTCTGTATATAGCTGTCCAATTTTCCCAGCACCATTTATTGAAGAGATTGTCTTTTTTCCACTGTATATTTTTTCCTACTTTGTCAAAAATTAGTTGACCATAGAGTTGAGGGTCCATATCTGGGCTTTCTATTCTGTTCCATTGGCCTATGTGTCTGTTTTTGTGCCAGTACCATGCTCTCTTAATGATCACAGCTTTGTAATATAGCTAGAAATCAGGCAATATGAGGCCCCCAGCTTTGGTTTTCTTTTTCAGGATTTCCTTGGCAATTCGGGGTCTTTTCTGGTTCCATACAAATTTTAGGATTGTTTGTTCCAGCACTTTGAAAAATGTCATTGGTATTTTGATCAAGATGACGTTGAAAGCATAGATTGCTCTGGGCAGCATAGACATTTTAACAATGTTTATTCTTCCTATCCATTAGCATGGAATGTATTTCCATCTTTTTGCGTCTTCTTCTATTTCTCTTGTGAGTGTTCTATAGTTTCTAGAGTATAGATCCTTTACCTCTTTGGTTAGGTTTATTCCAAGGTATCTTATGATTTTGGTACTATTGTAAATGGAATCAATTCTCTAATTTCTCTTTCTATGGTTACATTGTTAATGTATAAGAAAGCAACTGATTGGGGTGCCTGGGTGGCTCAGTGGGTTAAGCCTCTGCCTTCGGCTCAGGTCATGATCTCAGGGTCCTGGGATAGAGCCCCACATCGGGATCTCTGCACAGCAGGGAGCCTACTCCCCCCTCTCTCTCTGCCTGCCTCTCTGCCTACTTGTGATCTCTCTCTCTCTCTCTCTCTGTTACATAAAGAAATAAAAAATCTTAAAAAAAAAAAAGAAAAGAAAGCAACTGATTTCTGTGCCTTGATTTTGTATCTTGCCATATTATTGAATTGCTGTATGAGTTTTAGTAATTTGGGGGTGGAGATAGAGTTTGACTTCTTTGCTAATTTGAATATCTTTTATTTCTTTTTGTTGTCTGATTGTTGTTGCTAGGACTCCTAGTACTATGTTGAATAATAGTGGTGAGAGTGGACATCCTTGTGTTCCTGATCTTAAGGGAAAGGCTCTCAGCTTTTCCCCACTGAGAATGATACACACTGGGTTTTTCATAGATGGATTTTATGAAATTGAAGAATGTTTCCTCTATCCCTATACTCTGAAGAGTTTTAATCAGGAAAGGATGCTGTATTTTGTCAAATGCTTTTTTCTGCATTAATTGAGAGGACTATGTGGTCCTTGTGTCTTCTCTTATTTATGGGTTCTATCACACGATTGATTTGTGAATGCTGAACCACCCTTGCGTCCCAGGGATAAATCTCACCTGGTCATGGTAAATAATCCCTTTAATGTACTGTTGGATCCTATTAGCTAGAATCTTGTTGAGAATTTTGGCATCAATATTCATCAGGGCTATTGTTCTGAAATTCTCCTTTTTGATGGGTTCTTTGCCAGGTTTGGGGATCAAGGTAATGCTGGCTTCGTAGCCTAAGTCTAGAAGTTTTCCTTCTATTTCTGTTTTTGAAACAACTTCAGGAGAATAGATATTATTTCTTCTTTGAATGTTTGGTAGAATTCCCAAGGAATCCATAAGTCCCTGGACACTTGTTTTTAGACTTGTTTTTTGCATTCTGCTTCAATCTTGTTACTGGCTATTGGTCTATTCAGGTTGTCAATCTCTTCCTTTTTCAGTCTTGGTAGTTTATAGGTTTTCAGGAATGCATCTATTTCTTCCAGGTTGCTTAATTTATTGGCATATAGCTGTTGATAGTAATTTCTGATAATTGTGTCTATTTCTTTGACGTTAGTCGTGATCACACCCCTTTCATTCATAATTTTATTAATTTGGGTCCTTTCTCCTTTTTTTTAGATAAGTCTTTATTTGGATAAGTCTAGCCAGTGGTTCACTGGTCTTATTAATTCTGTCAGAGAACCAGCTTCTGGTTTCATTGATGTGTTCTACTGCATTTCTGGTTTCTAATTCATTGATCTTTGCTCTAATCTTAATTATTTCCCTTCACGTGCATGGGTTAGGCTTAAATTTGTTGTTGATTCTCCACTTCTTTAAGGTGTAAAGATAGTTTGTGTATTCTGGATTTTTCTACTTTTTTGAGAAAGGCTTGGATGGCTATGTATTTCCTCCTTAAGACCACCTTTGCTGTATTCCATAGGTTTTGGACCAATGTGTTTTCATTCTCACTGGTTTCATGAATTGTTTAAGTACTTCTTTGATTTCCTGGCTGACCCAAACATTCTTAAGCAGGATGGTCGTTAGCTTCCAAGTGTTTGAATTTCTTCCAAACTTTTTCTTGTGAATAACATCCAGTTTCAAAGGACTGTGGTCTAGGAATATGTAGGGAATAATCTCAACATTTTGGTATTGGTTGAGACCTGATTTGTGACACAGTATGTGGTCTATTCTGGAGAAAGTTTCATGTACACTCGAGAAGAATGAGTATTTTGTTGTTTTAGGGTGGAATGTTTTGTATATACCTATGAGTCCATCTGGTCCTGTGTGTCATTCAAAGCTCTTGTTTCTTTGTTGATTTTCTGCTTAAATGATCTATTGCTGAGAATGGAGTGTTGAGGTCTCCTACTATTAACATTATTATCAGTATGCCTCTATTTTGGTTAACCGTTGGCTTATGTAGTTGGTGCTCCCATGTTGGGGGCATAGATATTTACAATTGTTAGATCTTCTTGTTGGATAGACCCTTTAAGAATGATATAGTGTCCTTCTATATCTCTAACTACAGTCTTTAGTTTAAAATCTAATTTTTCTGATATGAAAATTGCTATCCCAGCTTTCTTTTGAGGTCGATTGGCATGGCTCCCTCCCTTCACTTTCAGTCTGGTTGTATCTTTAGGTTCAAAATGAGTCTCTTGTAGATAGCATATGGATGGGTCCTGTCTTTTTAACCAATCTGCAACTCTGCCATTTTATAGGAGCATTTAGGCCATTCCCATTAAGGAAAGATGATTTTATTTTCATCATGTTGCCTGTGAAGTCCTTGTTTCTATAGATTTTCTCCATTAACTTCTGTTCTATATCACTCTTGGGGTCTTTCTCCTTTTATAGAACCCCCCTTAATATTTCTTGCCGGCTTACTGGTCACATATTCTTTCAGTCTCTGGAAGTCCTAGAAACTCATTATCTCTCCATTCATTATGAATGACAGCCTTGCTGGATAAAGAATTCTTGGTTGCATGTTCTTCTCATTTAGGACCTTAAATATGTCTTGCCAGCCCTTTCTGGCTTGCCAGATCTCTGTGGACAGGCTGACATTATTCTTGATTCCCTCCCTCCATATGTAAGGAATCTCTTCCCCCTAACTGCCTTTAAGATGGTTTCCTTGATTCTAGGATTTGTGAGTTTTACCATTACATGCCAGGGCATCTGTCTGTTCTTGACCTTGGGGGGCGTCCTCTCTACCTCTAGGACAAAAATGCTTGTTTCATTTCCCAGATTAGGGAAGCTCTCAGCTACAATTTGCTCAAATATATCTTCTAGTCCTCTCTCTCTCTCTCCACCCTCTCAGGGATCCCAATAATTCTGACATTAGAACATCTCATGGTGTCATTTATTTCTCTTATTCTGTTTTCATGGATTTTAAGCTGTTTGTTCCAGGCCTCCTCTTGTTCCTTCTTTTCTATCAGTTTGTCTTCTAAATTACTTATTCATTCTTCTGCCTCATTTACCTTA